CCCTAAACCCTCAACCCTAAGCCTCTCTAATCCATTACCCAAACAGCACACGTCAAACTTCCTGAACCTGAATCTCCGGCCCTGCACCGAGGTTCGAAAGTAGGGGGTTCAGAGTTCAGTGTTACAGCGAATCCCAGAAAGTTGGAAAATGGTTTTTGCATGAATAGTGCTGAGATCCCTTATACTTTACATTAAGGGCATGAGGATAATGATGTTCCAACTGTCTGGCTTCTACTGTGCTTGTCATGAACTTTCTCCAAAGTTCCCTAAACTTTGAACCCTAAAGCACTAAACCCTAAGCTTTCTCCAAAATATTCAAGCCCAAGGCCCTCAACCGAGTCCGTTTACTTGGGGATTCGTATGTGTAAGGTAAAGTTCTGATTAGGAAAGCCCTTGACTCCATTGGATTTAGGGTTCAACCCCCTTCCTTAAACCCTGAACCCTTAAACCCTAAACCCTAAATGGAGCTTGCCGATATCCTGATATGAAGGTCCCTGAAAGAAAAGGCCAGGGTTCAGCAAGGTTGGAATAACACTTTACAAAGCAAACCCTATTCCCATTATCCCAGGCTCCTAAGCACTCTCTTTATGAAGGGTTCTTACAGGCTTTAGACAGGGGTTTTTTAAGTTCAATGAAGTAAGGTTGATATTGCTTCTACAGATGTTTCCTTCAAGGATTGCAGAAGGACGTTACAAGAGATTACAGAATGTAGGGTTCGGGGTTTATCATGGGGTTTCAGGCTCCTGCATGTAGGGTTCAGAACCTGGTTCAAAAGAACGTATGCGAAGTAGTCTTGCATTGCGGATTGGGGTGAGTGTTGATGTGGCGCCAGTATAAGTCTGATGGAAGCTCTTGGCTCCTCATGTCATTCGTGTAGTTCTCTAAATTAGGGTCCCTTTGTAGGTCCCCAATATAGTACGGCACCCTTACAAAAAGGACACTAAAAGGGACCCTAATTTAGAAAACGACCCATTCGTTGTTTAGTGTTTGAGGGTTCAGGGTCCCGAAGCCAAATGATGCCCTAACCCTAAACCCGAAACCCTAAACACGCCCCCAGGCACGCAAATGCCGCCAGAGTCCAAGCCCATCACCATACAGGAGATGGAGCCGAAACTGCTTAAGGTGAACCGGACTGCAACGGTTGATGGACAAAATCCTGCATGACCTTATATACCTAAACTATGCGGTTTATGGTACTATACTATATTTGGGTCATGCGGAATTTTGTCTATCAACAGAATCACTTAGAGCCTTGAGTGTTTTGACTAGGGTTTCCGACTGTAATTGTCGCTGACTGCTCAAAGCTCTGGATTTGGGTTTCCAGGTCTTTAGTGTTTAGGAGTCGCAGTTCAGAGGCAGGGGTTTCGGATTCGGTAAGTGTGCGGATTCTAATTATGAGAATGGTAGGGCCCCCTGGATGGCCTCATACGGAGCATTTCTGCAGGTAGTAGGGTTTCGGAGGTAGTGCGAAAAAGAAGCGCTAAGAGTCTAAATGTTACACTTTCATCATAACAGCCTCTGCACACCCTAAACCCTAAAATCTAAACCCTCCCAGACCCCTTCGATGCTGAACTCGAGCCCAACACCCTCATCGTCCAACACGCTTTCAAGCTCCCAATGCTTTGTTTTGAACGTGAACGCGTGAACGTGAGTTCAATGCCGCTCGTGTTGTGTATACAGTCTTTCTTGATTCTGATACTTGGCGTAGCCCCGTTCTTGCAGCATAAAGCTTTGTGTGTGTTTGTTTTGCTGTGTTCTTGGTTGTCGTTCATTCTTGATGTCGACCGAGACTGGAAAGGATAGCAGCAGAATACTCGTGGCTATTTGGACACTTCCGCACTGCGTGGTTGTAGAGAGCTGCGGAACAAGACGCCGTCTGCGTCCCTGCATCACACCTTGTGAGGGACCCAAATGTAGACCACATTTGTTCGCAGGACGGCTGGATGAGGCTGAACCTAGATACCCTAACATGGGGCCTTCGGAATTCGAGCGAGGCTTTTGGGGCACGTCGTGGTTCAGGCATATTAAGGAGGCCTAAGAAAAAATGTTGATACTGATTCAGGCCTGAACCCGAACATCCGAAACGGCCCCTATGTAACAGGACCCTGCGCATGCCCTTTGATAGATCCCTTACGGTCCTTGATCGTGGGTCGTTGGAGTAGAATAGTGCGCCCTAAGCCCTAAATAGGCCTTACACTAAACCCTAAACCCTAAACCCCTAAACCTTAAACCCTAAACCCATAAGCCCTAAGTCAAAGCAATTGGGATTCTCTCTGTGCTTGGAAGCTCTGGCAGCTCCTGAGACTGAAGCCTCGCAAAACCTGGCCATCAATGCCTACATCAACGGACACGACCTCAAAGCGCTCAGGTTCTCAGGTGTTGTGAGGGTTCCATACGGGGCTCTATATTATGATCGTTCTCTCAGTTAGTGGTATTCTGGGTGTTGAGTTGAGGGTGCAGGGTTTAGCGGTTTTAGGGTGTCGGGATTTGTGTTGAGGGGGAATTGCGCCCGTCACAAGTTCAAGGTCACATCCTGTCTTCGCTCGCATGTGCCTGGGGTATGCTGGCACCTGGCCCCCAACCCAAAAAACCCTGAACCCAAAAAGCTAAACCCGAGGCCCGAAACCGAGGGAAACCAGCAGTCTGGGAATCATTGCCTTTCGAAGAGTCTTCTACCTAATATAGGGGCGTTAATAATTAGAATAAGTTTTGGGGATTATTGTACTATGCTTATAATAAGGAGGCCCCAAAGATACTATTGGTAATAATTTAGGCTTCTACATTAAGGAGTTGGGGGTGGTAAGAAGTAGGGGTAGCCAGCTGGATATGTTTGTTTAAGCATCACTAAACCCAAAACCCGACATCTTGTTCTTGGTGATCCCATTCATTGCTGCCCATGAGGCTGCAACTGGGGGTCCTGGTAGGGGGTCAGGAGTTAATTAGAAACCATTCAACCCTAAACCCTAAACCCTGAACCCCTAAACCCGAAAGCCTAAATCTCATTCAACTTGGCGACTAGCCCAGACTTAGACCTTCTAAAAACTACCTTTGCAAGGACTTGCAAAAAGAAATCACCATGAGGAGCCATGAAACTTGGGGGGTGTTTGGGGATTTGTCGTGCCCTGGGTGTTGATCGGGTTTTCAATGTTCAACTAACTCTAAACCCTAAACCCTAAACCCCTAAACCCTAAACCCTAAACCCTAAACCCCTAAACCCTAAACCATATATTATTGGGGTTGTCTAGGAAATGCACCAGCAGAGCTTCAGGAGATGCAGCAGCACAACCCTGTTCCACTAGGGATCTATATAGGCTACTATAAGGTTTCTTTAAGGTTCTCTACGTTAGGGTAAAAGGACCCTGAAAGGGAACCTGATCTAGAGAACTAATCGTGCACTGGCGGTCAGCATGATTTTCCAGAGGATCCAGCCGTAGGGGTTTAGGGTTTAGGGTTTAGGGTTTAGGGTTACTATACAAGCCTAAGTAATGACCTATACTATTTTGGGGGTTCCTTATTCTAGTTTTGTATAATGGGCCCCGAAACCCTATTAGAATTATTAAGCCGCTATATTACTGGAAAACCGCGAGCCTGCGACGGCGGCTCTTCTAAGACATGGAGAAGCTGTCTCTCTCCATGGTGCCAGATCTATCAGTTGACCGACTTCAGGCAGCGTTTAGGGTTTAGGGTTTAGGGTTTAGGGCATCTCACTCTACCACAAGACAACAGCCGAGGCGTCACGGTGCTCTTAGTGCAAACGAAATAGGTCCAATAGCTCACCTTCCGAGGCGGAGGAGTTTGCGGAAATGCACTCACCATTCAACAGTACGAGGCACGACGCCGAAGTTGGCCACAATTTCACATTCGGTGTCTTCTGGCTGAGGATTCCAGGGCCTCAAGCAGAGAGGTGTGAATCTTTAGGGTTTAGGGTTTGTCCCCTCATATTCCGCTTCCAGTAATGATGTCATACCCCCAAACCCCCGGTCCAAGTTTGTAAGACCGGCATATATTATCTAATCCTACACAATTTATAGAAGTTTTAAAGGGGCCTCTTACCGGATCCCTGGTAAACCCTAGAGCAAAGCGCCCTGGACAAGACAAAGGGGGTGAAGAGCTCCGGCATTTAGGTCCTACTGTTGATGATATAGATCCTGCATTACCTTAAGGCCCTAAACCGATTGTGAATTATGGTATATTCCTTATTATGGGTAATGCAGAATTTATATCATCCACCGTAGTTTTGCCCGGGTGAGGGATGACTGGGAGCATCGACTGGCTAAACCTTATATGGCCGTCCTCATCCACGTCATCGCCGTCACCATGATATCAGCCTCATTATTAGTATCAACATCACCATTTGCATCATTATCATCACCACTCGCACTGGAGCTCATCATCTCCACTCTCATCATCATGATTGTTGGCTGGTCGGTCGGGTGGGTGGGTGGGTGGGTGGGTGGGTGGCTGCGTCGGCAGTGGTCGGTTGCATGGTTGCGTGGGTGCTTGGTTCCTTGCTTGCGTGGGTGATTGACGGCTCTGTCGCTTGGTTCCTCAGTCACTTGGTTTACGCGTTGCCGTTGCCGTCGCTAGATGTCGCTAGTGCAGCTGCTGCTGCTGCTGCTGTCGTCGTCGTCGTCGTCGTCGTAGTAGTAGTAGTAGTAGCGGTGGTCGTGGTGGTAGTGGTAGTGGTAGTAGTGGTAGTAGTAGTCGTAATAGTAGTAGTAGTAGTAGTAGTAGTAGTAGTAGTAGGAGTAGCAGTGGGAGTAGTACAAGTAGGAGTAGGAGTAGCAGTAGTAGTAGTAGTAGTAGTAGTAGTAGTAGTACTAGTAGTAGTAGTAGTAGTAGTAGTAGTAGTAGTAGCGGTGGTCGTGGTGGTAGTGGTAGTAGTAGTAGTAGTAGTAGTAGTAGTAGTAGTAGTGGTAGTAGTGGTAGTAGTGGTAGTAGTAGAAGTAGTCGTAGTAGTAATTAGTAGAACCTTAGTAGGGTCAATCGTC